GTGGTACTTGTTGACGAATGACTACAAGGACGGACTCGCATGTACTACGGCAACAGTCAATTACAAGTGGACAGTTATTCCTCCGCCAGTGAGTGGTAAAGACCCGCATTCAGTCAACTGCTTACATCGTTTTAACTCGACGATGGCCCTGTTGAAAACAACAGTTTATCGAAAAGCGACGCACATCGATCAGATCTCTAACTATCGTAGTAACCACCCAGCGATTTACAAGCGCAGCTTTGTGAGGACACTTTTCATACGTACCAAAACACACGCTGCAACTAAGAAAAGCGGAGGAATACCATCTATTCAACATCGTTCAGCGGAATTCGTTCCCTAAAAGTTTTATTCTACGCTGCCTGATGTCGAAGAATCAACCACAGCCTGCTTCCACAAGCGCAACGGAAAGGTCGTCTACCTCACATCCATGAAGTTTCTGAGATGGCAACGAGGCTTTTACTGCCTCACGGATCGACGTTGCACATGAAGCAACAAAAAATATTCATAGTAAACGTTTCCGGGTAAAGAACCAACAGAGTAAAGAAGAAACGTCAGATGTGATTTACAAAATTTTCCGTACCAATTGTGACAAGTACTGGGTGTGCAAGACAATGGGGAAACTTGGCACAACACTGCATGGATACAGTCTAACCATCCGCCACTATGATGAAAAATCACTAATGTCAGTACATATGAATGCCGAAGGCCATCACTTCGACCTGGAGAATTTAAGGATACTTGTAAAAGCAAAGAACCGCATGGTGCGTGAGTTCATCGAAGCCTGGTATTCGGGCCATATTTCAATTAAGAAGCACTTGGAACTAGATGGGGTCTACGAAGCTCTGCAGGTGAAGTCAGCAATAGGTACCAGATCGATAGGGGGAAGACGTGACCACTTGGCCTACCCACGTGAGACAATCGGAGACTGTCAATCGAAGCAGGAGACCATTAATGGTCACTTGGGTCTAGCAGTGGCTTGCGAGATTGCATATCAGACCCTGATAGCCGCATTGAGGATGTTACCTAGCTTGGCAACGAAACGTCTGGAACAAAATTGTTCAGTTCAGAGAACCCAACAACCCTCTCATCCACACCCCAAGCTACAGATATTCTCAATAATGTCCAAGAAATCTGCTCCCAATACTTCGATTGCCTTCTTATTCAGCGCTCCAAGTGTACAATCCTCGACCCGAGAAAAAGATTGAATACGTTTATTTTGTACACAGGCCACAGTGCGCCATGGTCCCGGTTTTCCGCACTAAAAGCTACATCCACTTCTTGGTTCCTCCGAACGCTGAACGCGAAGCACACCGACGTTTTGCGTGAGGTGTTCCATCATCCGCTCCACGCCTTCACGGTATTCTTCCTCTAACACAGCGAGTGACGCGTCGCCCAGCTTTCTAACCACCTGCGCCAAATCCTCCAGCCGCATTCCCCGGGTAGTGTTCAATATCCTGATGCGTTCCGCGATCGACTGTGGGAGACCGGTCAGGAACTGAGCCACCAATAGTTGCTGTTTTGACTCTTCGTTCACTTCAGGCAGGGCATGATCCAACAACTCCCGGACGTGAACCGCAAACAAGTGGCGATCCGGACCGCTTTAAATCTCTGCATTGCCTCCTAACGATGGGTCGCGCTGTCCGATCCGGATAGAAACCCCCGCCTCGCCGCGGTCCACTCCAACTTGATGGGTCCCTTCGCGCCGCCTACAGAACCGCCTTCGCTTTGCTCTTGAGGCGGCTCCGCAGGGCCACTAGCTTCGCCCGCTCGGTCTTCGCTCCGAACACCTTCACCACATCCTCGAAATGCTTCAAGAAGCTCCTCATCTCCCCTTCTTCAGGCAACTCTGACCAGACGATCTTCATGATCTACATTGGCTGGTCGCGCCAACAGTGCAGGAGCCCGAGATACGAACGGAGTCATTTATCGTGTCAAGCATCATCAACCATACGCACCAGCGTTAATCACGAAAAATTATAATCATCAGCAGTACGCCGGCTCACTGTACCAACCCTTCGCTGCCACGCGATCATCAGTAGTCGTGCTTGGGCTGAGTATGCCGCGAGGATGCCCGCCTCTACCCGGATTCGAACCGGGTTACAAGCCAAGCGTGCAATCCTTTCGGCCTCCGGCCGACGTTATCCACGATCCGTTCCACTCATCTTCAAACTCTCCCATGAATGTTGTGTGGCACTCGCTACTTCTATATCTATCCCTAACGCACATTGCAGCTTCCAGGCAGTCCTCTCCTGTTAGAACGTTGATATAGTCTGCTGTTGGCCCGTTGCCATCTTGTTTTCCTTTTATTTTATACTACTTACACTTGGCGCAGTAGTACCTGCGCTTATCCAACTGCATGATGACTCCTTTATTTTGACCTTTTACGTTTCGTTTTATGCTCCCTTTCTAACTATTGACCTAACAGTATGTAAGTGAACTCAATCAAGACGTTTGTTTGGCCTCTACAAATTTTTTCAAAATTACTGAGGTCCTTAGAATCTGTCACATCAGTGGTTTAGTGACTTGTTACATGTGATGTAATCACGATCTCGATATCAGTCTTGCATTTGTTTACTACGTCTAGCTCTTAACTACTATCTCTAATGCTTTGATATATTCTCGAATCCCCTTAAATTGTTGCCACTCATCTCGATGTTTACTGTGATTCTTGTTTACATTTTTTTAGTGACATGACCCAAGTTAACTCAATCGCTGCACTTTATTGCACAAAACACTCGATCAACTGAAAAACCACCTGTGTGCCATGCTATTGGTTTAGTCACTCCGTTCAACTTCAGTATCTTTCTATCCATAGATTATTACTTATCACGAAAGACCTCCTTGCATACCGTGATTTGTTCTTTTAAAAGCAAAGTGTCATATCTCTCTCTGAGCGTACTGTGGTCCGATTTCTGCTCACTTGCAAAGGCATCGGTGTCTTCACAGTTGGACGAATGCGTTTGGCCTCATGACTGCTGGGCTCCACTAAGATATCAGAAAATGTTTGAGCCCCAGCGGCGTCTACTTAACTATAAGCCATCTAAATCCACTGGGGTTTTGGCCCAACACATCCCACCACTTTCTGCTATCGTTACTGGAGAACGGTATTAACGTAGTAGCGAATGCTTCTTGGTTCGATACTATTTTCTGTACGGAGAAAGTGCTCTCTAACTGACCTTTGTTATCTCTGAAAAGGGCCAGAGGACATCCTACTTAAGCCGTCGTGATATCAGTCTAATCTCAGTTGCCTCCGGACTGCTGACATGCTTCACACTGTGGCAACTCACTGATCCTCGTGCGAAGCGAATGGGTGGACCTAAAACCGGCTTCCCCAGTATAGATTGCATTGATTAACTCCTTATGCATGAACGCCACCATTCCCATAAGCGGCCTAAAATACTAACCTTTCTGAGCCTAAAAGCTACACTTGATCCTGTTGGTCGTTCATGTTTCTAGCGGTGCTTGTCTGTGAAGTACCTGCCAGAGAAATTCCTTTGTATTCCAAAGTCTTTAAAGCACGACTCTGACCGCATAGAGCGGTTGGTCTCAGGGATGCTCTATCTTCCCATTTCTCTCCAACTTTATGGTGGACATATCCATAAATGATACGCTGTTACCTTCTTCCAATTCTATTAATGGTGCACCTCTACTTGACTACCGATTGTCAAGCTTAGGGTATGCAGACAACATCGGCATTGTGTGGCTCAACTGAATAGGCTGCCACGTGGCAATGCACGCTTTCACACGTACTTTGTATCCTGGAAATTCAAAAGGTTGTCAAACGACCAGACTGACTTCTGACCAGTTTTATTACCTCCGAACAAACACTTAAAGTGATCAATCGATTTACTTATCTGGTTAGCTATATCACTTCTGACGGTTGTATCATCGAATAGGCTGTGGCACGTACCGATTCAGGTCATATGGCCATTTAAAGCCTCAGCCACTTATGTAGACAATGGGTTGTAAATTTTGCCTAATGGAGCCTAGAGGCGCCCTTTTAGTGACATGGCGAAAGGGCACGTAGCAACTCACTGAAAAGCTGAACCGGATTAGTGACTGTTGTCTTCGCTGATGACATCAGTGTTCGGACACTATCTGCTATGAACTTGTTGCAAAGCGGTTGGCACCCTTATATTCGGTCCCTCATTTCGGACTTAACTATTCGATTTTCAGTATTGCTCAAACCTCTTGGATGATTATTGTCATCATGTTGGCGGTGTGTTTCAAGGATAACTGGTTCCACTGCACCTTGTTGCGTGGTTCGGGGTTGCATTCCGCTCTCCAAGCTGTATGCGGTTTCCTTTATAAACTTTCCCCAAGGAATTACAGAAAGAAAGAGACAATACACCGGTACGTTATACCGACGCTTCTTTGCCCCATGAATGCCATGAGTCGCGCGTCTGTCTCGTAACCCCAGGGTCACTGGCTTGGGTTTTCCAAGGTGCGGTCAATTTCGTAGTATTCACAGCTCACACACGACTATTGCTGGTCGCATGCCAGCGAAGCATTTGTCCTGGTGGGTTACTGTTTCTCCTTGTTTTCAACTTCGAGGTCGTCTGCGTCTACACAGTCTCGAACCGTTTGTCTGTGGACTATAGGTCAGACCCCTGAAGCACTCGGTCACTAACCGGTCTCCAATGAGGGTTGTTTGTCAGTCGACTACCACTGATATCGCCCGATAAGGATAGCAATAGCTATATGAAAGCTTTTTAACCATTTCCATTTTTGTCCATTTCTTCTTACCCACTGCTCCACTCTGCAAATTGCAGTTCATCAGCACTCGTTTCCGGCCTTTTCCAATCATTGCACCTGAACTCTGCACTCCGATGAAGCGATCTCATAGCTTCATGGTCAGTTGTCTACTCACTTTTCTTTAATCTCAAGTGCGAACGAATTTCAAACCGTTGTTTGCGGCAATTCTGAGATCGGGATCGCCGCCATTTTCTTCGTGTTAAAATTTTTGTTTACTTAATAGGATACTTGTTTTTTGTTTTCAGACCACCCGCACAGCCCTCCGAGTGTGTGCCGCGCCCTGCGGTCGTCGCTGTCCTCGGTCATGTTGATCACGGCAAGACTACACTTCTGGATTCCTTACGGGCTACCCGCATGGTGGATCAGGAATATGGTGGTATCACACAGCATCTTGCAGCATTTACCGTCTCCTTATCCGCGGTTGCTGCTCAGGCTGGTGTCAAGGATCCTATGAGCTCGCTACCCAAGGCACTTACTGATTACATCACTTTCTTGGATACCCCAGGGCATGCGGCTTTCTCTGCTATTCGCGCTCGTGGTGCATCCGCCACCGATATCATCATCCTCGTTGTTGCTGCGGACGACAGTGTTATGCCACAGACGGTAGAATCCATTCACTTTGCCAAAGAAGCGAATGGTAAGTTACCTGCATTTGTTATTGAAATGCAACTCGGTTCGTTGAATTCTTCTCTGACTACTGCACCCATGGTTTTGAACACTGCAAACCCTCATTTTTATTTTTCTCACTTTATATGTGGCGTGGAGGTTTATTCCTGGAATTCACAATGACGCTCCGAGAATGTGACGTATCTTTTTCGACGCTCATCAGCATATGTTCTGAGCAACGTTATCGCCCGATTGCAGTGTTTCTCCGAATGCATCAACACGTCAAACTGTTGAATCTTTGCTTGTATATGGTATATTAGTTTGCGCACCTGGCTCCCAACTTCTTTGAGGAGGATCAGAGGCGCTTTCACCTCTTATCGCTGCATGCGAAACATTAGTATCTGCGCGTCCGCAACGATGGATTGCGTAGGCGAGTGCTAGGCAGTGATAACCAGGCTAGTTCATTAGAACAACGTATAACACTGAATAAGTTGCGTGTACACTGTAACTGATTATTGAGGAGACTTCTTTTCTTTGCCCTATTTTAGGTGGCGTAAGGCTCGTGGTGGGGAAAAGTTACTTTGGCAGCAGTAACTGAAATCACTGACGACAAAACTGCGTGCCGTCAGCCCGTCTCACCTTCCAGGCTGAAATCCCCGTGGCTCGCTTTGAGCTAGGCTCAAGACTACAGAACATTGTTCGCAGTCGACACCATTGGTGCGTCTGCTGCCCCTTGTCGGATTGCCTGTTTAACGTGTGTTTGGTGTTATCTGCTAGGTAATGGCTGATTATGACGCGGAGTAATAAAAGCCGCAAGGAAGCTGTCTCGCTGATCCCGCTTTATCATTTCACGATAATCTGCTGTTTGTGACTGTATGTCAATACAAGGTGTAGGCGTCTTGATCCTGAATGTTTGCTTTGGGTATTTAGATTTTACGCTAGGTTTCCGTTCTCTCCCTTTTATTATGCTTCATTCCGTAGGTCCTTATGGTTGTACGACCGTGAAACATCAGTTCAATCGGCTTATGTGTTGTTGTTGTTGTTGTTGATGATGATGATGATGAACTTCTGTGCTCGTATTTGGTTCCTCTTATTGCATTGGTTTCCGCACCAACACAGCGTTGCAGCTCATGTGCGATCGCTTTCAGTTGCATAGTGGGAGAGCTTTGATGCAATATACTGGTGGGTTTCTGATACCTCTCTTTGTATCGTTATCAGTTGGTAATGGTGATTTAACATAGGCAAACATTTCATCTCGTAATGTCACAGACGACGAATTTTGTATGTCCGAATAATCAACATGTCAATTAGGATTTCAATGGCTTATTCCTTTTCAAAGGACTCATTAAGCTGATGAGCCCTTTTACGTAAATGTACGTTATCTCCATGAGCAGAGCTATTGCATAGGTGGGTTTGTAGGGTTCTCGAAACGGAATGTCCGCATTCGATAAATCATCTGTCGGCTTTTTTCTGTTTGCTTACTGAGACAAACAATAGCTACACAAACGACATTCACACCATTGGAAGTCACTTCACTCTGAAAGGAATATTACAAACTACCCATGCTTAGATCGCTACCCGGTCACACATTAGGTGTGTACACAACGATCCTTTAAGCATTGCTATCCGCTTGAGGTGTACACTACCTTATCCTTTGAGGTGCGCTTTGTCTTTATTTAACTGTACAACTACAACTCGCCCGTGAAAGAATGGACAAGGAATCTTGTGCTCCACATCTTATCAGCTCAAACTTGCGTACGGGCGGGCGACTTCAGTATAGAGATAGTCTGTGCGTGACTGGTGATGGCCACTCGACTACGAACCGTCATTACAACGTGCAAGCATACTGGCGATGCTGCTGCTTTCAATTTCAACTGCTTGTACGAACCGTTATTTGTTTTCTCCGTTATTTATAATTCCAGTAAAGCAGCAGTAAACGTGAAGTTCCAACGTAAATTCATGCTTCTCCAATGTACGTTTTCCCTTGCTTTATACTCGGCGTACCCCTACCGTGGCTCGTTTTGCAAGCTAATAGCACACACACTCAATTGGTCATTATAGTTCTGCCAACACTGTCCACTGGTTGATAGTTTATCGACGCCCATACTTTGCTGTTTAGGATATTCATGTCCGTTGTCACAGCTGGTTGGGTGTTGTTGCGCCGTCATTTCTAGGTCGAATCTAGGATTCCTTATCCACTGATCCTACATCACCTTGCCATGTGTTGTAATATGATTTGAGTCTCTTTTCTTTTCAGCCCCCATCATCGTGGCCATCAATAAGATGGACAAACGTGAAGCCGATGCGGCAAGTTTTAACATTTTGCCCCTCTGTAAATATCATTTCACCACCCACTTTCCTTTCTTGACCTAACGTGTATGCCTTCTCTCCTGAAATCTCACTGTCTATCTCTCTTTGTTCTTTATCCTGCACTGTGTCACCGTTTTGTTACACTTCCACTGCAGGCTCGCGTGATGGCGGATCTGGCAGCGCTCGACGTTGTTGTGGAACAGTTAGGAGGTGATGTCCAGTCTGTGGAAATTTCCGCCCTAAGGCGGATTAATCTGCACTCTCTGCTTGAGGCTGTGTGCTTACAGGCAGAAATGATGCAGCTGTGCGCTGATCCAAGCGGACCGGTTGAAGGTTTTGTGTTGGAAGCAAAGGTAGAACATGGTATCGGGTGGGTAAGCATTGTATACTTGATCAAATGCACGATCTACTTTATTATTCATCTAAAAGTATTCCTTAACTTGATATTCAATGCGCAATCACCATCGGAGAGTTTCGTATGTGACAGCACATCTTTGTGACTACGGCTTATTTTAGACGTATGTGCATACTCATTCTACCGAAATGTCTTCCAGAATGGTCCCGAGGAATCTGAATCACGTCGCTTGTTTAACCCGAGCTCTCCCTTTCCATCTTCTGTTACAGCAAGGTCGCAACATGTCTCGTGACCCGCGGTCACTTGCAGAAAACTCCTACCAGTGGTCCTCTTGTCGCTGGTGAGGCCACATGTAGTCCACGCCTCCTCTTCGACGATCGTGGGCAACAGGTGACCTCCGTCTGCCCAGGCTTCGTGGCCAAAGTTGCAGGCTGGAAGGAGTTGCCGACCCCCGGTGACACATTATTGGAGTTAGACTCATTAGTAAGCTAGATTTCCTTTTTACGATGTTATTTCTTTTCTTTGATATCTGTTCCCGACCTGCTATTCAAGTAGAATCGAGTCAAAGCGTTTTTAATCATCAAAACACCACTCTCTTTGCACCAATTCCTGCAGGTTATCAGGATTCGTACTCTGTCGTGTTGGTTACATGTGTTGTGAGTTGGTCCGCTGTTCTCGCTATGTTTATTGGGTTGTCCCGAAATTGCTTAAACTTTTTGGCACATTTCCAGTCAATATTTATTTTAAACAAGGAACAATACTTACTCATTTTAACATGTATTGTTGTCTATGACGTACTGTCAACGCTCAGGCAAGCTCGTTCTCATAAAACGAGCTTAGCTGGCTGTCGACGCATTGCGCAACCTACGTTTCGACGTGGTCACGGTCATCGAATTTCTTGTCCTTGTTGTGATTGCGCAACGAGCGGAAAGGATGGTCCTCCGTAGGAACAAGGTCAGGTTAGATACATCAGAGCTTCGATGCCAAGCTGCTTAATCCTGAGACGAGTCAACTTTGCCGCATGAGAACGTACATCATGCAGGAGAAAGATTCGAGCCGCTCTTGGGTATTTTTCCATCTTTCCCAGTTGTTTGCAGTAGTCATCACTGGCAATCACCGTAGATTTGTCAGGTAGTAGTTCCCAGTAGATGACACTGCAGCGTCCTTACCAAACCGACAACATCGCATTTTTTACTGTGCAGTTCGCCTTCCGGAACTTGTACTGGCGTTTCATCTCCTGCGATCCACTTGCGCTTCCTGCTCTGGTTGACATGAAGAACCCACTTCTTGTCTCCAGTAACGACATCATTCAGTCATAGATGACTGCGTCCTCAGGTGATGGCACACTGGTTCACAAGTTGCTGATCAGCCAGTTCGTGTGGTACAATTTGTTCGAGCTTTGGGACCACTCCGAGTTGCCACAGGTGGCGATGTACTGTGATTTTAGGAAGGCCAAGATGTGACGTAACTTCACACACACGCTTATCCGGAGCGTCCTGAATGCTGCTGACAATGTCCGTTGTCTTGGATCTTTGACCTTCCATGTTTGCCAATTCGTAGTTCCTTACGTTGACTCGACGGAACAAAAATGACACCATACCATAACCTGAGCATCCATGCTTAGTACGTCACACACTTTTTGACAAGCCTCGACCGCTTTGCGCCCTTGTAGGAACTCGTACAACAAGCACCCGCGAACAGCACGTCGATCATATTCCAATACCACAGCTATTGCTACAATGTAAGATAACTGGACTATGTAAGCTTATTGTTCCACGGTTGTCCCTTTGCATGTCCATACTAAAGAATCTCCGGGAAACCTCCAGAAAATTCTAGAATGGTATCGAAACAATTTTAGTTGGGTATAGTACTCCTTAATATTATGTGTGCCAGTTCTCTGAATTACGAATGGCATTCGCTCACCGCACTTGCTAATCCTTCTGAAGGTTCGCACACGTAGTATTGTACTTCCACTGAAAATGGGTCACTGTGTCTCCGCTTGCTTCGTGTTTCCAAAGGTCTGGATTTCAATTCCTCAGCCCTAAGTTACTACACCATATCATTCATCTCGCTCAATCCTGATCGACGGTGCTCTCATGTGCTACTTCGAAAATGTATCCTTCTTTTTTCGGACAGTCCAGAGCAGCAGAAGTTGTGCGTGTCCGTCGGGCAATGCGAATAAACCGTAAGACTGAAGAGGATTACGCTGCATACGCTGCTCGCATGGCTCCCTATCAAGCCGAGTATAACGCATTTATTCAACACCGCCAGCAATTTCATCGATCTCAGTGGCGTAAACTAGATGTGAGTTGGCACACTGTTCTTGTTATTGTTTTCCGTCCACCACTTTACTGGTTCTCGCCAGAATGTACCACATGCGGCGTGCACACTATTCAATGTTCTCGGTATCTTATACTTTTCCTCATTAACCCCCAAATTTCCCCAACCGAATTGCAGAGATCTCGTCCCGATCTTACACACCTTGTTTGTCCACCGAACCCCAAATTGGTCAAGCTACCTCTTTTAATTAAGGCGGATGTTCAAGGCAGCCTAGAAGCCATCAAGACACTTTTGTCAACGTGTCCCTCCGATGCCTGTGACATTGAGGTCGGACTATCTTCCATTGGACCGTTGACCGAGTCGGAAGTAATGAACGCCAAAGCATTAGATGGTAAGCCATCCGGCCAGATCTAATACTACTTTCACCAAAAGTCTCATTTGGTTGTAATTCTTTTCCATCTACCTTTTTCACTGCATCACCCACAAGGCATTTCCCGACTCTAGTCGGAAAGATGAAGGAATCTATCAGTGTCCGATATCCTGGAATGTGTTTGGAACCGATCGGAAGTCACCATTTTATGTCACTCAATTTTAAACTAATTAACTTTGCCTGGAGAGGCTCTTTTGTCAAAGGCAAAACGCCACGCTCCCAACAAATTCCTTACCGGTCGTCCACCAAGTCTCCTGGAATGAATCTACCAGCGCTTCTCTTACTTTTTAATACACTTGCTTGCCTGACGCAGTCCTATGCTCGGGCACCATGAATAGTCATTTATAGTTGTTTGGGTGTGATTTGTGTGCGTGTCGTGCTCAAACACACAGATTCGCTTCCAGCAGTTTGTGTTCAGCGACTCCTTTCATTTATGCTATCCCTTAATTTTGCAACCCTGTTCATGCTATCTCTGGGGTCTGGGCATTCCAGGATCTCTTAGTGGCAGCTCACAGCTTGTTATCCATCCGTTCAACCATTTCGAAGCGACGAACTGCGTGTTCAGACTTTGAATTCGGTCACATGTTGGCTGTACTGTCGTCATCGCTGTACACATTTCAAACTATATGCATTACATTGTGGGGCTAACATGCAGGTCGAAATGTTCAATCCTATGTACTTTGCTCCAATTCGTGAAACGTATTTTCAGGCTACTATCGTGACTTGCTCTTTTTATTCATTTAACGAACTATCTACTCTGATACACTCCTATCCCGTACCCTAAGAACTGAGCTAGGTAACCACGTACGTTTGTAATTGTCGCTTTTGATTCATGGGACTGTTTAAGGTCTAATTAAGCAAACATTGTCTCTGTCGCTCACAGCACTTGGATGTTCCGCTACGGGAGACGCTTGTAGTACAGTACCTTGTGTGTAAACCTTCGAACACTGGTGCATGCTGGACGACGTCCACCATCATTCTTTTCCATTGTCCCGAATTTCACCAGCCGAACTTCGGCGACCAGTCTGTGTAACGAAATCCAATACCGGTTGCTTGTGTCCAGGTTAAAGTTGCTTCCTTTCATCAGATACAATCTCCCAACCTCAAGTGATCTAGTACCTTTTTCCCTTCGAGTCTCCTCATGTGAAAATTTCCGGTGAATTCGAGTGCAATTAATTTTAGCAACTTATGCTATTTACCGAAATAGATTGACAGGATGCAATGTTCCTCTCTCTGAACAAGTCACAAGAGAATTACTTTCCGAATCATTATAATGCTGGGTTATTCTATTCTTTTACTAATGATTTCAAGGCTTATCGCGTCCGTACTTCCGCTTGCATTCGGTGGCACAATGTTGCCGACTTTTGGGGGATGAGACCAACTTTACGGTATCTGGATTGCCATTATCAAACACGTGGCAAACTTTGCTGCAAACTCGTCCCAGTACTCACTTGATTTTGAGGCTCCACAGGTACTAACGGTCATCGGCCGAGGACGAAGCGCGTTTATATTGTCACTGTCTGTCCTCTCGCTGACTATAATCCGGAATTCTAGAGCCAGCTTGCTTGTCTAAAGTGTCAATTGTACACGCATTGCTTTCGTTGTGGGTGATAAAAACACTGACCTCGGTCACCTCTCCGAGTCACATCGTTTTCCCGGAGGCCGTTTATGGGTCTTTACTTGTCATACTACCTGTAGCGGCTACTCTCTGCGGCTGCACGCAACAGAGCGTGGATATCAGAAGCACACCGTTTCATCACAAGCGCTCACATCAATTTAGGTGGCGCCCACCGAGAGAAGCTTTTTGTGTACTCAAAATAGCCACATCACTGCTTGCTCTAGTTGCCATCCGGGGCCATGGGAAGCGTTTATCTCGATTTCGAACATAACATCTTATGTCCGGCTCTGGTGAAATGATCAGTTTTCACTCCTCATTTTCAATCCCAATTCACAGGGTAGCGGTACAAATCGGAATTGTAGTGTCATATATATCACAAATGAGTCTAGTTGGCACATCTAATGCAGATTGGAATCGGTCTAGTGCATTGTGCAAAATCACCAGAAATCACGTTTCCGATCAGTTCGAGGGGTCCGAATAGTGGATGAATTTCTGAAGACTGTTAATTTGATTGAAGAACGTGTGTCGTCACTAGCGCTCAGATCTCATCTGCGTAGGAATCTCACTGTTAATCGGTTGCGTTGGTTGATTTCGAGCTCCCGTGAGGCGAAGAAGACCACTCCCATTGGGAGCACAAGAATGCAATTCCAGATCATTCAATGCTTGTATCAAAGAAAGGCGCACTTGTTAAGGAGACAACAGAGGGAAACAGTGAAGGGCTAACTCACTCTCCATCACAATCGGCTCCAGCGATAGGATGAACACTTTAAATAGCGTTTCGACCATCTCGGTGTGTCATGATTGCCAAATGGACACATGGACTATTGACGTAAAAGGTTCCGCAAGCGACTTGCTCCACTGGTCGAATAGTTAAGCTGTCTGACTTGTAATCCACAGGCCATTTGTTCTAGCCTTCGTATATGTGAGTGACCTCTCTCTAGTCCACACTCGACTGCTGGTGGGCACCGGTGATAGAAATGGCCGCTGCTCTTGCTAAACATCGGAAGTTATTCCGTTTGGTACGCGAAACGGACAGTAGGATACCTTGTGTTAACGAGACCATATGTGACTAGAATGGACGACCGATCCACAGTCAAAACGCTAGGAGCGTTTTCCCGAACACTTTAAAAGGCAGTTTAATCCACTAGCGTTACAGTTTTCCCTTCGGTCATTGGCCGTCTTTCTCCTTGGGCCGTCCCTCTGGACCTGTCTTCACGCGCAGAATTCGAACGTGAAGTCAGACTGTTGAAAGTAACTAAGGCCGCAGGAACGGATAGACTTTTCCCAGCTCTCTTCAAATTCGGGGACCTGGTACTGTAGGTGGTTTGCACACTTTCCTAGAGGAAGTGTGGGAGCAGATGACTGTCCCAACAGACTGGAGCCGCTCTATGATAGTCCCAATTTTCAATGGAGGCTTACGTTCTGAATGCGGCTATCATATATAGGGGTCAGTCTGATTTCAGTAGTTGCTCGCCTCTGCCGTTCTTCATAGCCTTTCTGGCACACCTGAAAGTCAGATTCGCGAGGAGCAATCCGGGTTTCGTCGAAATCGAGGCTACATCGATCACATCTTCACATTACCTCAATTGTTGGGGCACCGCCATATTTATCAGCGAGTCACCGTAGTCGTGTTCCTTGACATCAATGGTCCCTTTGGGACTGTCCACTTATTAAAGGTGTACCCGAAAACTATGTAAACATTGTCAAAGCGGTTTACGCGGAGTGAGGGGTCACGGCAAACTGTCGCCATCATTCAATATCTTCCGCAGTGTGAGACAACCATGACCGCTTTCACCATTCTTTTTTAACTTCTCCATCGACGAAGTCATGGAAGCTACGTTCAGTGGACACGACCTGCAAGGCGTGGAGCTGCTCCCATGTAATCGCCGATCACATTGTTCTTATCTTTGACAGTTGCTAAACGTGCGAAGTATTATCATCATCATCATCACTATACACGTTGGCTACAGGTGTAAAACACCTCAGCTATTGTGCCGCATTACAAAGTGAAAGGAAATAACATACAACAGAGTCACGCTGGCTGAGTCACCAGTAACGGATGGACATCGTTCTGGAGAGCTAACAGCCGGCCAAGTAGTACTGAACAAACTAGCATTGGCAGTCAGTCGTGTCGGGTTATGCTTTGCACCCTCGAAATACATGATGCTTCTCGAAGATTCGCTTTGATCCTTGCTGTGGTGGTCAGTTAAAAGTCGTTCATGAATTCAAGCACCTAAGCAGCTATATTGGTTCCCGTGGGATCGAAAACGAGGTCGCCCACTGTATAGCTAAGGCTCGAGGCACTTTTACTAATCTCTGGCGCGGATACAAAATCACTCTCGTCCTGAATGACAGAGTTTAAAATGCAGCCGTCCGTTCAACCATGCTATACGGTTGCGAAACCTGGCCCATCAGGTCGACAGACATAAAGAGGCTAGCCACGTTCGACCATAGCTGCCTTCGCAGCTTAGCTCATGTCTGGTGGCAGCACCGCGTGGATAATGAATGTGTTCGACGTCATGTATTTGGTGCAAGAAGTGCGAGTGAACCGCTGAGCACCATTATATCACGCACCAGGCTCCGATGGCTGGGTCACATGTTGCGCATGCCAGCACACCGACTCCCGCGACATGCGTTGTTTGTGCGCCTGGGGTAGGATGGAAGTAGAGGAGGGGTGGCCAAGCGATGACTTGATCAAGAGGAATGAAGTCTCCCACTTCGAAGTTGGCGTCGCTTGATGTTTTCCGACTGCCTATCTGGGGTCCAAAGGGTGATGAACACGTTTGGTTGGCTACACTAGTTGAAATGTCATGGATCAGACCACTGTGGCGGTGTTGTGGTTTTCTTTGTCTCTCCCTTATTTTCCCCCTCTAATCACCATCCCTCTCTTGACGCTTACTATCTTACTAAGTAGCGTGTTGCCTGTTCTATAATTATATTCTATAATTTCCAGTCTCTTATTGCGACACAACGGTTGAAGTGCGTTTCTTATCTTCATCTAACGTGTAATGCCGATGACTGCTGGTGGTCGTGCAGCGGTGAAACGTCCGCACGACGTACTTTTATACTGCCGGGGCCCTTTCCGACGATCGACTAGATCTAACCTCGGCGATATTCCGCTTTCTCCTCCTTTGCTAATGTGTGTTGGCGGCTCGCTAGTTGCTGCTTTATCTACTTCCACATTGTTTGGCTCAAGCAGAAATTGCATTGTGGCTGGTGGTTTCCAGCCGCTATTCCTTTGTTTGAGTAACACCCAGCGATGTCTTGTAAACATCGTGGTGGAATTAGTTCCATCTCCAAACTGGTCAGTTGTGTAACGCTACGGCAGCTCATTGATTCTTGC